ACTGACTTTTTTCTCTTACTATTGTTTATTTTTATTTCCTGTATCACTGACTTAAATACACACACAGACATATACATACATACATACATACATACATATATACCAGAGCTAAGGACAGAACTCTATGTCACTCCACCAGAGACCACATTAACAAAGAACCATGAATCAAGGCTTCCTGGGTAGGGTTATCCAACCAACAGCAAGGGAACCCTGTGCTTTACTTACAATATATGGTATCTGTGGCAATCAGTTCCCTCCACTTTGGACCTGAAACACAGAGGGTGCTCAATGAATATTTGCTGCATTGAAATTGAATAAAATTATCTTGTTTCATTCATCTAATGACTCTATTTAAAGAAAGTTAACATGGTCATTTTAATGGGGCATGATAATGAACCCATGTTGGCTGCTGGTGATCACCATTTTCTTCTATAAATGTTTATTAACATGTTTGCTCCAGATTTTTGCTAGAAAGTAACAAAAATGCTGCCATTGTTATTCCTGGAATCCACTCCTTTCTTCTTTTAAAAACTGGGGCAATATTGCCCCTATCCAGTCTTTGGATACGCTCTTACCTTACTCAAAAGCTTTAAGGACTCTAGTGGCTGCTTAAGCCTCAAGGGTCTTCACTCCCTCTTCTCCCCAGTAGGAATAATATCAACACTTTCCATGTCACAGAGCTGTATAAGGATCCAGGAAGATGGGAAGACACTGGGCACAGTTAAAACAGGTACTAGGGGCTCACATAAGAGCCATGTGTACATACAGTGCCAATACAGCACAGTCACATCCTGCAGCCCCCCAAAGTGAACGCCACGAGCAAGACCAGATGCGGCATGCGATCAGGGAGACACCCAGCAGGGCTGAACCTCTCATCCTGGCCCTGCTGTTTAAGAGGCTTCCAAACAACCCGATAGGAAGCTGAGCCAGAGCACAACAGAGACTGCGCCCACAGAGTTTTCTTGCCTCTCCCTCTTTCCCTTCCTCCTGCCTTACTCTCAATTTTCCTCTCCCTCTGAATCAGTGCGTTAGAGTTACTATAACTGTATTAGCTGCTCGGGAAGCTGTCCTGTAGGCAGTAAATGAAGGCAGAAGCTAAGAACCTAGGAGAACAGCCTGATGCCTAATTTGCCAGCCTCTTCCACCCCCTGCCTCCCACAGGTGTTTAGACTCGGATGGGGATGTGCATCAGACACACTGCCCACAATAAAAATATGGAAGGAAAGTTTCCACTCTCCTCGACCTATAGGAACTCCCTCTGAGCTCAAACAACGCTTGATAAATGCAAGAATGAACTCTAATAACCCACCCTCCTCCGAGAGGGGATCACGCCCACGAAAATTCTTTATACCCTTAAAGTCTTGGGATATTTACAACAAATATTTTGTTAGCTACAATTTTGTTGTTTCTCTTTCTCCCAAGACCAAATGAGGCTGCTGAATGTTCACAGACAGTGATTAAAGATGTGGGCAAAATTTAGATATGACAATGCTCACTGATGCTGCCTATTATAACAGAAAAGTGGAAGCAACCTGTATGTCCAACAAAAGAGGACCGTTTAAATAAGTTGTGGTGCACCCATACAATAGAATACTGTGCAGCTATTAAAAATCATTTTGTCAGAGAGTGGATGGAATGATGTTTACAATATATTGTTAAAAGGAAAAGGCAAGTTATAAAAGCAGAATGCTATATACCACAAAGAGGGATTTTTTTTTTTCAAAAAGATGTAACATTCATTGCAACTGGTGGAATTATGAATGGATTTAAAATTTTTCTTTTTTATCATTTTCAGGTGTTTTCCAATTTTTCTACAGTGATGTGAATTGCTTTGGAAATAGGGTGGCAGGGGGAGGGGCAATAAAACTTATTTTTCTAGCCAGAAAGAAATAGGAAAAGCCCACTCTTTAAAGGCTGTCTTCTGGCACCTTGTTCTGCCAGAACAAGCCAGCTCAGACCCCGCTGCCCAGCTTGCCTAGAGCCCCATGGAGGCCGCCTCGGCTCTGGCAGAAGCTTCCTAGGTGCCAGCATCTACCTTGAAACAAGTTATTGAAAATGGAGTTGTCCTGGCCAGCCTCTCCCTGGAGGGTGTTCTGGCCACCCTGAAGTACCAAGGGCCACTGCCGCCCAGAGAGACAGCGTTCCAGAGCCCTGCGGGTTTTTAAGGCAGAGCAGCAGCCCTAGCTTGTGAGAGGAACCTCCCTCCCGCCTCCCAGCTGCCTGCCGAAGGTTTGCAGACAGCTCCCTTTCCATCCCACAAGAGGAGACAGGCAGATGAGTCATAGCACTGGCTCAGATTAAAGAAGTATTATTGTGTTAGCAAAAATGGATCCATTTTATTATCTGTTTCTTGACACCTTACAAATAGATATGTTTTCCCAACCAGACAGGCAAGTTCCTTAAAAAGCCAACAATTTCGTTAAGCTGAAGCTGAAGAAATGACCAGTAAGAGTTAGAAACGCTTGTGTCTGAAGAGCAGCCAGACTGAAAAGATGTAGTGGAAACACTGAGGAAAGTGGTTTATAACCCTCAGACTCTAGACTCAAGTCTGCAAAGTGATGCCATTCTTCTAAAAATACACAGAGGAACTATGGAAATCCTTTCCTCTTTTCTAAGAGTTTTCTCTCTCTTTCCTTTGTTTAAAGAAATATGCTAGCATTGGTTCATGAAGAAGATTGAAGCACAGATTTCAGTTTTCATGGGGGTAATGGTCATGGGATACTATTTTAAGGACTTCCTTCTCTTATACAGATTTTTCCACACTGGGAGAGGACAGATAAGGTATGTTCCACTAATGTTCCTCATTAAACACACATGCATGCCAGCAGTCATTTCCTTTTGTCTTGCTATCCCATGACAACAGATTGCATATCATCGGAAATTGGAATGGAGACCTTATTTTGTTTGGATCTCTCTTCTCCATTGTTTAATTCCACATTCAATTTTTCATTTTATATCTGCCTTCCTTGCAGAAATACACTATGACTGAATATAGAAATAGATAAATAAGTGTTATTTATTGAAGACTCACCTCATAGACTTTTCAGGAGCATTTGAGCCAGCAGCCTCCCCTCCCCCATTTATCTCTGGGCTGAAAGGTACTAGGTGCTCAGTAAAGATCTGATGGCTGATGGGCATGTCTGTGCTGTAAATGTGTGCTCCTGGCACTTTGCTTACTGTTGCTCAAGTTCCAGTAGTGAGCATCCTTGTTTCCTTTACTGCGGTGATGCATAGATGTTTTGGTGGTGTTTAGAGGAAGCTGGACGCCTCTTCAATCCAACATGCTCTGTTCTCTGACACTATCTTTGTTGTTTGTCCTTAAGGCTGCAAAGCTACGATGACAAACTTTTTAAATGATCCCAGCTATCTGTTTTTGTGTTGGGTTTTTTGTTTTTTTGTTTTTTTGGACTATCAACTTTTCCAAATGTTGCCATGACTTTTTTTTCATTTAAGAATGTGATTTTAAACATTTTGTTTTTCTAAATGAGATCCATTAGATCTAAGAATGAATGTTCTTTCCACTTACCAAACATTAACTGTGTGCCAGGCATTGGGTAATAGCTTCCACGCTCATTATTTCATTTACTCCCTTACCCTAAGGAGAAGATGCCAATACATGAGAAAACTGAGGGAAGGTAAGCCATTTGCCCAAGGTCACACATTTAGGGGGTGGGGCATCTCTTCCCATTAGTCCATAGAAACCCATCCAACTTTTATCAAAGTCCATGCGTTTGGCCATCCAGCAAATGTTTTCTGAGAGCAAAAAGTAGGGCTGTATTTGCACCCTGTGAAACCCATACCTCCCTAAAGGAAGAGGCCCCCAGTTAACAGAGAAGCCAAACTCACTTATGAAACTATATGTTGGCAGTTAGGAGCGGGTCTGGACATCACATAGCCTTGATTTCAAGCCCCTGCTCACCCACTTACTGGGCCTGAAATCACAGGAAAGTTATCTGCTCTCTCTGAGACTCAGTTTCCACATCTATAAAATGGAGGTAACAATATAGATTGAATTCTATAAACTTGCCAACTTGCAATCATTTTTGGCCTCCAACAAAACATTTTCAAATGACTCTACCTAAAATTTTTAATGGGTCATTGTAGGAGTGCACTCAATACGGAGCGGCTTTTAGTAGACTTCCTCTTCAGATTTCATTTTGCACAGGTCAGTGAAGTTAGCCTGTATTCTCTACCTACACTTCTATGCAGAGAAGCCCGCTTGAGGTTATGCAGGTGTCGGAGGTGATAATTCAGGGAGGCAATAAGACTGTGTGGGTAGTCAAGAATTACCAGCGAAGAATCTCCTGAGGCCCTACTGCTCCGTGTATTGCATCCCTTGGTTTAGCCTTAATTACTGAATAAATTTACTTTTTTCTTTCTTTTTTAAGAAAGTGGAAGGAGGGGTTATTGAGGAAGTTTAGCGTTCTGTGTTAAAGACAGAGAAAGGTTTTAAGTCACTGCTTGCCCCTCGAGTCTGGCAGGGCGGGCCCTGCCTTTGATGTGCACCGGGGCCAAGGCGCTCGGAACCGGCTTCGCAGCGGCAGGTCCACCCTGCCCCGCCCACGCCTGGAGAGGAACAGCCCGAGTTAGCACACCTGCCTGGCGTTGTTTACTTCCTCTCTGGGTACGAGTTCCTGCTCTTGGACCCTCGCTGGCGTTATCTTATGTACTCCCCCAAAACATTTCTCACAAAAGGGAACTCTCATTACTTTCCCCATTTTCCAAGAGGAAATAGAAGCTGAGTGACTCTCCCGAGGTCTCCAAGCGGTAGAGCCGCACTCAAACAGAGCAGTCCTCTCACTCGGAACCTCCTTTTCCCAGTTGGGTAGAGGCACCGTCTCACCTAAGAATCCTCCAAACTTGGCCACCCCCAAGAGAAAGAGCACGACCTCGCCGCGCTCCGCAAGTCCCGGGCTCCGGGCGCCGGGCCGGCGCGGGTAGGAGGAGTGGCACCGCCCCCGGGGTATTTAACCCTAGTCTGGGGCCCGCGGGGCGCCGGCCGCTCTGCTCCTCGCTGCTCGCGCCTCCCCTCTCCCTTCCCTGCTCTCTCCCGGCGCGCCCCACCCTCCGCCCCGCGCTCCGCTCCAGCGCAGGCACCGGCCGGCGGGCGCGGGGAGTGGGGCACGGGCGGCGCTCGCCTCTGCGGAGCCGGCCGGCGGCTGCGACCGCCGCGCACTGCCCAGACCGCACCGCCCCGGCTGCCGTCTCCCGGCTGCCCGTACGGAGTGCGCCGGACAGCCCGAGTCAGGACGCCGGCCCGGGGCGCCCGCAGAAAGGCGGGCGGCTGTGGACGCCCGGCCAGCAGCCCACAGCATGGATTCGGATTCCGGCGAGCAAAGCGAGGGCGAGCCGGTGACCGCCGCAGGTACTGAGGGGTCGCGGCAGCCCAGGGGGAGGGCTCTGCCCGGGAGGAGGAGAGGACAAGGCAGGAAATCGCGAGTATTTCTCCGAGATGCAGGCGGGAGGCCGATCCCCAGCAGCTCTGTGCCTTCCAGGGCGGGACCGGCGATTGCTCCGCGCTGGGAGTTTGTTTTCAGGCTTTCTCCTGCTTTGCTCTTGGACGCGCAGGGGACTGAGGTGCATTTGCGTGTGGCTCTCCACGCAACGTGGCTCCTAGGCTCGGGTCACCGGGGCTGGGTGGGGGTGGGGAAGGGTTCGGGAAATCCGAGTCCTGTTGTTAGCTACGGTGAGGGTTGCAAAACATCTGCCTTTTGAAATAACTTTCCGAGCCCTGGCCCGCCCTCGAACCCGGGGCGCCGTGGTCGCGGAGGGCCAGGTGACCCGGTGCGAGGATGTGACTGAGGCCCTGGGAAGGAAAAGCCCCGCGGGTGAACTTGCAGGGGTAAAACCACAGGTAGCGGCTGCGGTTTCCGAGGCTGCCGGACGATCCGGTGCAGAAGCTTTTGCCCATCGCTTATCCAGCACGCGCGCAGGAGGTCCCCGCGGACGGGGTCCCAGAACACACAAGCCGGGGCGCACCCGGCCGGGCTTCGCCTTTAAGAGGCGCCGCCGGCTTTTTCACAATCGATAGTTATTGAAACAATGGGTGGATGCTTACTTAGGAGAAAATGAATGTCCTCCCCCGCCTCTCCCTGATACTGAGCAACAGGAGGAAGCCGCCCACAGCCTTGGGTCGACTTACTGCTGGGCTCTGCCCACTTCCACCGGCCGGCGCCGCCAGCCGCCCTGGGGTCCGCGCACCAGGGACCAGAACGGGCGCGCCACGTGCCTTCCTTTTCGGCCCCCTTTGTGACCCTGAATGCTAGCCCTGGCCAGAAGACCTGGGACCTGAGGGCTGGGACCCACCTGGTTTAGACCCGAGGTCCCGGACTAGTCCCCACTCTTCCCAGTGTCCTCAAGGTGAGGACCAGGAGACAAGAGGCACTCTCAGTCCAGGAGTGGGTGTAGGAAAAGCAGGCTGTGGAACCAAGGCCTGCACATGTATTATTCACCTTCGTCTTCACAGCACCTAGCCAGCCAGGTGAGTATCGTGGCTTCCCCGCATCTCACGGCTAGGGAGCAGCCAGGGGCAGAGGGAGTGCGTCCCTTGCCGCTGCATCATACCCCTCAGCCTCTCTCTCACCCGGCGGCTGTGGTCAGCACTTTCAGGTGGGTGGGTGGGAAGGGAAGAGGCTGTGGAAAGGACAGGTGGCTTCACCAAGATGCCTGTGTGAGAGGACTTCTGTGTGCAAAGGCCACCTGCTCTGTGTAGGTATGTGTAGATATAATTAATAAACATGAGCCCTTTGCCTACGTGTATGTTTCTGTGACTATGAAACACCAAGATTTCATTTCCCAGGTGGCTGATGGATCTCCTCACATCATTTAAAAGTACGGGGGTGTTTTGTGTGTATCTAAGTATATCTTCAGGGCTGAAAGGGGGAGGGCAATGACACTGACACTTGACTCTCTCAAAATCCCAGGCACTGGCTCTCCTGCCCCCACCCTCAGATCTCCGTTGGGGATGATTGGAAAGGGGAGGAGGACTAGAAGGTTTAGAGAAGAGAGGGAAGGAGGAGAAGGGGGGAGACATTATAGAAGAGTTGGTACTTGGGTGAAAGGGGAGGGAAGGAGATCTTAAGGGTCTCGTCGCTTCTTCCTCCAGCCTGCCCAGCACTGAGCACCTGTATGTATTCAGCTCTGTGTCAGAAGGTCCCTGCACAGCTAACAGTAGACATTGCCACCGAAGTCAGATGGGTCCCACGAAGTAAAGGGCAGCCAGCTCTTCTGAGCTGTCACCATGTGTTTGTGCCTTATTGTTTTCTACAGTCATTTCTTCTTTCTCTGTGTGCTTGAATCCCACAAGTTGAACATTTATTTGAATGTCACAAGCCATTCTGCTAAATGACATTCAGTCTCACTCATTATTTTCAGTCTTAAAGTGTTCTTTGTGACAAAGCTTCAAAGCTTGATGCTAATTCACCACCTTGCTGTGGCTGCATCCTGTCAAATGAAGACTCTGTGGCAGCTTCAGATATAAGCTTCAGATATAGGAACTAAGGGGCTGACCTTAGTCCCTATAAGGAATGTGGCATTCAACTGGACCTGTATCTGTGCAAGCTGGATGGGTTTGTAACTGAGAAGGACAGGAGAGCACGTGGGATATCTTGGAATGCGTGTGTGTGCGCGCGCGCATGGGTGTATGTGTGTGTATGTCTGTGTGTAGCTACTTCATAGAGAGTTGAGATATAAAGGCCTCTTCTTCCTCGGTGCCCTGCCCTCCTTGAACTTGTGTAAAAGCCCTGCCCTAAGATGGGCCATATTAAGGTTAAGAGCATGAATTGTGGAATCAGAAAGATCCAGGTTTCAATTTCTACTTAATGGGCAAGTAACTTCATCGGTTCAAACCTCAGTTTTCCCCTCTGTAAAATGGGGATAACAATAGTACCACAAGGAGATAGTTAGGATTACATGAAACAATACATGAAAATGATCCTGGTAGTCATTTGGTAAATTTGATTATCACTTGATTGGATTAGGTGTTAAAAGAATACTGCTAAATAATGTATCCTAGTGCTGTGTAAAACGTAAACCATAGACATGTGTAAGACAATTAGTATTGTTGTCATTAATATAATTTGTCTAAGGGGATTTGTTTTTCATTTTCTCCCTTATACTCTCTTATTCTTTCTCCAGTATGTGTGTGTGCGTGCATGTGTTCGCTTGTTTGTTTGCAGGAGATTATTTTTAATTTATGTCTTTTTACCCTCGTCATCCTTCAGCTCAAGGCATGAAAATGGCTTGAAACTTTTAAATCTACTGCTTTCACCACCCTTTTCCTCCAGCTCTGGCAAAGTTGTAAAAAGCAGAGACCCCCCTTACCCTGGAGAACCCCAATCCACCTGCTAACCTGGAGATTAGCCACTTTCATCCCACTTCACATAGAAGGAGAGAGTGTAAGCCTCACCCAACACACATTTTTCCCTTCCAGGTAGCAAGGAGGTACAGAAGGTACTCACCATTCTCTCTTCCATTTTTGCCAGTCTCATCGGTCACAAATAGACAGAGGAGTGAGGAAATCGAGGACCACCTACGCTTTACCCCTTTCAAGAGACTTTTCCTAAGATCTCCTCAGTGCTTACTGTGCAGATCTCTCATCTAGCACCCCCTCCATAGGAGGGTGAAGGGGGAAGAGATTTGTCTCAATCTGCATTTTCTGTTTTTCAAGAAGCACAGGATGATGCTTCTATGTCATTCTACTGCCTACAGCTTCTCTGCCTTTCTCTTATTTTATGGTTCTTTCTATGATTAGAAGAGAGGCAGGGTTTATGGAACACTGGATTCATTCCAGAGACCCAACTTGGCAGTCTCTCCTTTGGCAAACCCACTATCCAGCTCTCAGAAACCCTAGAGCTTGGTGTATTAACTTGGCAGTGTTTCCAAAGATGCAACAAGCGAGTAAACATTAGCAGTGTCAGCTTTTTTTCCCTTTCTGGCTTGTAAGACCAAGATCGTCTACCCAGCTGAAGGCAGACAAGCTCCCTCACAGCTGGCTGGTCCAGGGCAGCCAAGCTGATGGGGCATCCTTGCGGCCACATAGGTAGTGCAGAAAAGCACTTCCATGTCACGGAGAGAGGATGTGGTAAGGGAACTCGAAGGCAAGCAAGGAAGTGGGGAAACAACAGGCTCCTCACATTGCCCTTCCTGTTCTCTCCATCCCCGAGGTGCTAAGCTGGGTCCATGTGAACAAAGAGGGAAGAAGTGCATAGGGTTCGATTGGTGGCCAAGAGGAGGAAAGGTGTTTCAGAAGTCAGACATCACTTGAGCAGAGGCACAAATAAATAGGGAGGTGCCTGGGGTGTAGGGCATATACTAGGGAGTACTGGGAAATAGATGAGTGTGGGGAGAACAACTTATAAGAGGGTCTTAATAACTTGGTTCTATTGATGCTGAAAGAACCCCCCTGAGCTGACTGTTGAGTAGCGATGTGACCAACTGAGAGCTGGGTTTGCAGAAGCCACATTTGACAAACATGAAGTATGGAGATGACGTAGGCTTGGGCCTCAGCTCCCAGGATGTGGCCGCAGTATCGGAGGGGGTGCTAGCACTAAGCGCTAAGATGAGGCAGAGGAGGAAGGATACACGTGCCATTCCAGAGAAGCAAGCAACAGAAAATCTGGTGACAGGCTGTGCAAAAGCAGTGGAAGGAAGGGAGAGTGGAAGGAAATTGGCATATTGAGGGAAATGCAGGAGAAGGGCTCACAGCCACTCTTGCCATCAGGCACTTAGTGATGTTTGTTTTAAAGGTGCTTTTCCCCTGTAGGCAGTAAATCATGCCAGGGCATTGGTTTGGGGGGATGATGAGGTCCTGAAGTTTGTTGATTCTCATTGTCAGGTTCCTGGAGGAGGCTGTTCAGCGCTAAGTGGGAGCATAAGGCCAACGGCTGGGTCTTTTTCACCTGTACCACCTCCCACCAAGCCTTTGTCAACTGACAGGTTGACAGTTGATGAACTGGCCAACTGAGGGCAGAGACCTCCTGGGCATGATGTGCCACTTTACCATTAGTCCCAGTCCCATGTCTCATTCCTGACTGTGGACAATTTCAGGGGCCTTTACCTGTTTGTCCACACAGTGGGCTGCAGCTGCTTTGAGGGTCAGGACTTTGTCTTGTGCTTTCCTGTTCCCGAGACTTTTATGGACATAATAAATAAATGAGCATCTTATTTAAGGAGCCTCTTGAGAATTCTGCCCTAAAAGGCCAGATACAAGCCGGAAACCTATCCAATGGAACTGCCAAAGCTTTCCTTCCGTGTTTGGTTTTGCTTCATTGGTTTATGATTTCTTGCACTGTCTGGGACATTGTGTTGGAAAGTAAAGGGGATGCGCCCCGGCTGGTGTGGCTCGGTGGATTGAGCGCCAGTCTG